TCTTAAACCGCTTGTTTCGCACCGCCCAAAATGCTGTCACCATTCGAAGCCATAGGCAAAACCAATTTTTATGCTTTTTAATGAAAAAAAAGGTAATGTTTCTCATGAAAAAAGGTAATGTTAGCAAAAAAAATAAGAAGGTAATGTTCACGCAACAAAAAAAAGGAGATTTTATCTCACCGGACTCTCTCCTAATTGCAATCTTCAAATAAGGAAAATTAAGATCCGCATATTTAGGATACAACTTGCACGTGGAAGAGAGAGAGAGTATAGGCTCCCCACACTGTAACTTATAGGTACCTCACGAACCAATCAAAACACAGTAAAACGCCAACGTGTACATATTAGGGTTTTACCTCACAGCCATCGAAGGTTCTCGAACCTTTTTAAAAACAGCCTGGCTCCTTAGATTTAGCTCTCTAAATAACAAATCTGTGACCGTCCGATCAAACCCAAGCAACAAGCCACAACTCTATATAAACCTAATCTCTTCTTCATTGTTGCTTACGAAAAACAAACCCTAGCCGCCCACTCGTCTTCTTCGTTCTCTTTATTTTTTTCAGGCTCTGTTTTTCGATCTCTTGTAGTTTTTAATTCTTTTTGATAAGAATGTCTGGTAAAGGAGAAGGTCCAGCGATCGGAATCGATCTTGGTACGACGTACTCTTGCGTCGGAGTATGGCAACACGACCGTGTTGAGATCATCGCTAATGATCAAGGAAACAGAACGACTCCGTCGTACGTTGCTTTTACCGATTCCGAGAGGTTGATCGGTGATGCTGCTAAGAATCAAGTCGCCATGAACCCTGTTAACACCGTCTTCGGTACGTTTCTCGCTTGAAATCTAGATCTGATTCGTATGGCGTTTAGATCTGAGTTGTGGAAAACTGTAGGTTATGTTAGATTTAGTGATTCATGAGTAGATCTGATTGTTCTGGGTTTTTTTCTCACGCAGATCTTGTTTGGTTCATCGATTTTATATTGCTGATTCTATTTCTATTGAGCTTCTGATATTGTTGTCATGGTTTTGAGATTCGTTTGTATTTATGGTTCTGGGTTTTGTATTTGATGTTCAAAGTGTTTTTGATGATTAAAACTTAGTCGTTGAGTAGTTTATTGATTTTGTTTTGAGATATTTGTAACTTGTTTATTGAGTGAATTTGTTGAATTTGTTGTTTCGATTTTGGCAGATGCTAAGAGGTTAATTGGTCGACGATTCAGTGACAGCTCTGTGCAAAGCGACATGAAGTTGTGGCCATTCAAGATTATCCCAGGACCTGCCGACAAGCCAATGATCATCGTCAACTACAAGGGTGAAGAGAAACAGTTCGCTGCTGAAGAAATCTCTTCCATGGTTCTCATTAAGATGCGTGAGATCGCCGAGGCTTACCTTGGTGTATCTATTAAGAACGCTGTTGTCACCGTTCCTGCTTACTTCAACGACTCTCAGCGTCAGGCTACAAAGGATGCTGGAGTTATTGCTGGTTTGAACGTTATGCGAATCATCAACGAGCCTACAGCTGCAGCTATTGCTTACGGTCTTGACAAGAAGGCAACCAGTGTTGGTGAGAAGAACGTGTTGATCTTTGACCTTGGTGGTGGTACCTTCGATGTCTCTCTTTTGACCATTGAAGAAGGTATCTTTGAGGTTAAGGCTACTGCTGGTGACACTCATCTTGGTGGGGAAGATTTCGACAACAGAATGGTTAACCACTTTGTTCAAGAATTCAAGAGGAAGAGCAAGAAGGACATTACTGGTAACCCAAGAGCTCTTAGGAGGTTGAGAACTTCTTGTGAGAGAGCGAAGAGGACTCTTTCCTCCACTGCTCAGACCACCATCGAGATTGACTCTCTCTACGAGGGTATCGACTTCTACTCCACTATCACCCGTGCTAGATTCGAGGAGCTAAACATGGATCTCTTCAGAAAGTGTATGGAGCCAGTTGAGAAGTGTCTCCGTGATGCTAAGATGGACAAGAGCACTGTTCACGATGTTGTTCTTGTTGGTGGTTCCACCCGTATCCCTAAGGTTCAGCAATTGCTCCAGGATTTCTTCAACGGTAAAGAGCTTTGCAAGTCTATCAACCCCGACGAGGCCGTTGCTTATGGTGCTGCCGTTCAGGGAGCTATTCTCAGTGGTGAAGGAAACGAGAAGGTCCAGGACCTTCTATTGCTTGATGTCACTCCTCTATCCCTTGGTCTTGAAACTGCCGGTGGTGTCATGACCACATTGATCCCAAGGAACACAACCATCCCGACCAAGAAGGAGCAAGTCTTCTCAACCTACTCAGACAACCAACCCGGTGTGTTGATCCAAGTGTACGAAGGAGAGAGAGCCAGAACCAAGGACAACAACCTTCTCGGTAAATTCGAGCTCTCTGGAATCCCTCCAGCTCCTCGTGGTGTCCCACAGATCACTGTCTGCTTCGACATTGATGCAAATGGTATCCTCAACGTCTCTGCCGAGGACAAGACCACCGGACAGAAGAACAAGATCACCATCACAAACGACAAGGGTCGTCTCTCCAAGGACGAGATCGAGAAGATGGTTCAAGAGGCTGAGAAGTACAAGTCTGAGGATGAGGAGCACAAGAAGAAGGTCGAGGCCAAGAACGCTCTTGAGAACTACGCTTACAACATGAGGAACACGATCCAGGACGAGAAGATCGGCGAGAAGCTTCCTGCTGCTGACAAGAAGAAGATTGAGGACTCGATCGAGCAGGCGATTCAGTGGCTAGAGGGTAACCAGTTGGCTGAGGCTGATGAGTTTGACGACAAGATGAAGGAGTTGGAGAGCATTTGCAACCCGATCATTGCGAAGATGTACCAAGGAGCTGGTGGTGAAGCTGGTCCTGGTGCGTCTGGAATGGACGATGATGCTCCTCCTTCTTCAGGCGGTGCTGGTCCTAAGATCGAGGAGGTCGACTAATCTGTTTGATTCTTTGACCCTCTTATCTTAGTATCTCTCTCTCTCTATCCTTCTTTTACTGCTTTTTATTTGGATCTGTAAGACTTTTTTTTATGCGTGGGCTTTTTTGATGGAGCCCATTTTATGGTGTTTTTGTTAGAACCTTTTTTGAAATCTGGATTTGATCCAGTTTATGATGACGGATAAAAATGAAATCTTCTTTCAATTTTCTTCACATGATTGTTGTTTTAGTTATTTGATGACGCTCGAAATGGTATTTTTCTATCTTTGTTAATATTATGGATACAGGGCAACGAATTATGAATATATGTATATCAAAATGCATATAGTCTGCTAATATTCTTATTTTTTAACGGGTTTGAGGAGCGTACAATTTAATTAATTCGTCCCGAAAAATACAAACACAAGTCTATGACTGTATGTATATAAAAATGATTGGATGCAAAAGCTGTTTCTCTCTAGTAAATGTTGGCTTAGTAGGGGAAACAAGGCTACTAATCAAACGTCATAAGTTCTCGAAACATCCAGCTAATCATCGAAAGTTCTCGAAACATCAAAGTTCTAGAGCGACCGTGTTGAGATCATTGCTAATGATCAAGGTAATAAAACGACACCGTCCACCGACTCCGATTGGTGATGCTGCGAAGAATCAAGTCACGATGAATCCGATTGATAACTTCATCTTCTTCTTTTTTCTGTGTTTTTGATTCTCTTGTCGAATTTTTGATATTTGAGTGCGTGGTTCTGATTTTTAGGGTTATATGATGATTTTTTTAACAAGGA